TAGAATCATTTCATCAATGTCAAACTTCTTTCCTTACAAATTCAATAATGAAATTACATAGTCTTTTTAAAAATTGGAAAGATTTATATGAAATATTATTTGAATTTTTTAAAATATTTCTTATAACACAACCATTTGTTTGTGAATATCAAAATGTATTAATTATTGAATGTGGAACATTTTTATCATTTATAACTTGTGGAATGTTTAATTATGGAAGAAATAAATCAACATTTCATTTTGATGAACAATTTAATCTTATTTCTGAATTTATTAATCAAATTGATGTTACTGATTATTTAAAACAAATGAATTATTCTTATTCATATTTTGAAGAGTTATATCCAATTTATTATTATTTTAATATTAATCTTATTATTTCTCAATTATGGGGATTGGTATATAAAAAATGCAATGATATTTCATTGTATTTGAAATTATTTGAAATGTTATGTGTTATTTTTCCTTGTTATCCACTCAAAAGAAATCATACATGTTATTTTAATTGGTTTTTATATACAACAACTCTTTTATTTAACCAATTAGAATTAAACCAAGAAGATATTAAAAAATTAGAAAATTATCAATTAAATTGTATTTATTCAATTCAACATTATAATAACCAATTATATAATAATATTTTAATTAAAAGAAAACAAATAATAGAAACTACTTCATATATTGATTTATCAATGAAAGATTCTATTGCCGAGTTTTATGATAGTTTAATGGAAGCATATCATTCAATTCAAACAACTATTCAAGTAGAACAAGTTGTTTTTAATGATTATAATGTTGCACCATTAGTAAAACATAAATCTATTGGAATTACTAAAACACTTCCAAAATTTAATGAACGAATTTTATTTAATACAACAAAATATAAAAATGACATTATTGCATTTAGAGAAAAAGAATTAATACGATTTACATCTATTGAACAAAAATTTATAAACAATCCATTTCATCAAAATGAAGACATTGTTTCTTTTGATTTAAAAGGTTTTAATATTCCATCAAAACCTATTTTTAATGTAAAAAAATATCATAGTAGAAATATATTAAGTATTCAAGAAAGATTTATTATTGACCAAGACTCTTTTCATGATATTCAAGTACCATTTGATGCAGAAATAATAACACCTTGTTT